CCGATCGCTAACAGCGATCAACAAAACAACCGCTCGATGTGTAAGTAACAAGTAATAATCGCAAACAACAGTAGCAGTGATAATATCATCCGTCTATCTCAATATATTCAGGTGTACATATTCACAAGCAGTCTCGAACCATTGCGAAATTTAACCGATCATTCTGCACAACGCGGACAATATTTCGGTGCATCTGTTGCTGTTTCGGATTTAAATGGCGATGGGTAACTGTTTATTTATTTCAGCAACAATTGCTAATATTACACTGCGTTCACTCGTATTCATATGCATAATTATTTCGTATGAGTAATCATTAATTCAAATGAATATTCATATGTTAAAAGTTGTTATTGTTCAAGTGATCAAATAATGGTTGGATACAACGAATGAAGATAATTTCAGATTGGATGATATCATTGTCGGGTCACCATTTTATACGGATTATGTAACCGTTAAAGACGTGAAGACACAGGAACAAAAACCTCGTTATGAAGTTGGCAAGGTGATGGTCTTCTTCCAGAGCGCCGCGGTTCGTTGTTTATTTATTTTTGTTATCATTCTGATCGAAAGTCATTTCAGCATGACTTCCCCAAATGGGAATCAATAGTTGGTCATTCAGAATGGTCCCGATTTGGATTCTCGTTGGCTGCAGTTGGCGATCTTAACCAGGATGGTTACAATGGTATGTTGTTATGATTAGAGTAATGAATATGAATGTATTCGTCTATTCGCAATGAAACTGTTGAAGATTTCATCGTTGGTGCACCTTACGATGGGGTAAATGCCGAGGGAGTGGTGTATGTGTATCACGGATCAAACGATGGAGTTCGCACTCAGTTCACACAGAAACTGGAGGCAAGTAAGATCAGCGCTTCTCTGCGCGGATTCGGCTACTCGCTCGCTGGTGGAGGCAAAGATGTCGACCAGAATCAATATCCTGGTCATTAATAATCTTAGCGCCTGATCATATGACTAAGCTATATATCTGATAATAACTATGATAATTTAGACATCGCAGTCGGTGCCCATCTGAGTTCACATGCTCTTGTGTTCAAGACAAAACCTGTAATAACAGTCACCGGCTCGATCAGTACTGCCAAACACTCCATTAATCTCGATCAGAAGACATGTCCCACAGAATTCGGTTACATGGCTTGGTATCTTTTATCTATTTGTTTGTCGTAATAATAATAGTAATATTAAAATAAATGCCTCCTATCTTAGTGATCAATTGAAACTGTGTGTGCAGTATGAGGGTAAAGGACAATCACCGAACGATATCGAACTAAAAGTGATTATCAATGTCGACTCGAAGAAAACGATCAGTCCGAGAGCATTCTTCAGGAGGCGTGATTTGGTTAGATATTATATTATCATCTGTGATAGTATAATTTGGCTGAATAAATAATACGAGTGAATTAAAGGCTCAAAAACGAAACGTTAAAGTGAGTAAGAAATCGCTCTCAAAAGAACAGCCAAATCTCATCGAACAAACTCTTCACATTCGAAGGAGAGAACGATTCTGCGATGACTACGACATCTATGTCTCGGTTCATTTTTTATTCATTACTTCCATATTCTTATTTCTCTTTCTTGGCTCTCTTATTGAGTTATATTCTAATACGTCAGTCCACTGAGTAAAAGAGCGGACAAACGAATCAACCATACAGAGTGATAGTTAGTGTATTGCAAAGAGTTGTATTAAT